TGTCCAGTATATAGAGACAGATTTGTCCAGTATATAGAGGTTTCAAAAGGAGGGACAGATATGTCCAGTATATAGAGGTTCAATTGGAGCTACACATATGTCCAGTATATAGAGGTTCAATTGGAGCTACAGATATGTCCAGTATATAGAAGTTTCAAAAGGAGTGACAGATATGTCCAGTATATAGAGGTTCCAAAGGAGTATATAGAGGTTCAATACGAGCTACAGATATGTCCAGTATATAGAGGTTTCAAAAGGAGTGACAGATATGTCCAGTATATAGAGGTTTCAAAAGGAGTGACAGATATGTCCAGTATATAGAGGTTTCAAAAGGAGTGACAGATATGTCCAGTATATAGAGGTTTCAAAAGGAGTGACAGATATGTCCAGTATATAGAGGTTTCAAAAGGAGGGACAGATATGTCCAGTATATAGAGGTTTCAAAAGGAGGGACAGATATGTCCAGTATATAGAGGTTTCAAAAGGAGTGACATATGTCCAGTATATAGAGGTTTCAAAAGGAGTGACAGATATGTCCAGTATATAGAGGTTTCAAAAGGAGTGACAGATATGTCCAGTATATAGAGGTTTCAAAAGGAGTGACAGATATGTTCAGTATATAGAGGTTTCAAAAGGAGTGACAGATATGTCCAGTATATAGAGGTTTCAAAAGGAGTGACAGATGTCCAGTATATAGAGGTTCAATTGCAGCTACAGATATGTCCAGTATATAGAGGTTTCAAAAGGAGTGACATATGTTCAGTATATAGAGGTTTCAAAAGGAGTGACAGATATGTCCAGTATATAGAGGTTTCAAAAGGAGTGACAGATATGTCCAGTATATAGAGGTTTCAAAAGGAGTGACAGATATGTCCAGTATATAGAGGTTTCAAAAGGAGGGACAGATATGTCCAGTATATAGAGGTTCAATTGGAGCTACAGATATGTCCAGTATATAGAAGTTTCAAAAGGAGTGACAGATATGTCCAGTATATAGAGGTTTCAAAAGGAGTGACAGATATGTCCAGTATATAGAGGTTTCAAAAGGAGTGACAGATATGTCCAGTATATAGAGGTTTCAAAAGGAGTGACAGATATGTCCAGTATATAGAGGTTTAAAAAGGAGTGACAGATATGTCCAGTATATAGAGGTTCAATTGGAGCTACAGATATGTCCAGTATATAGAGGTTTCAAAAGGAGTGACAGATGTCCAGTATATAGAGGTTCAATTGCAGCTACAGATATGTCCAGTATATAGAGGTTCATGATTGCAGCTACAGATATGTCCAGTATATAGAGGTTTCAAAAGGAGTGACAGATATGTCCAGTATATAGAGGTTTCAAAAGGAGGGACAGATATATCCAGTATATAGAGGTTTCAAAAGGAGTGACAGATATGTCCAGTATATATTTCAAAGGATATGTCCAGTATATAGAGGTTTCAAAAGGAGTGACAGATATGTCCAGTATATAGAGGTTTCAAAAGGAGTGACAGATATGTCCAGTATATAGAGGTTTCAAAAGGAGTGACAGATATGTCCAGTATATAGAGGTTTCAAAAGGAGTGACAGATATGTCCAGTATATAGAGGTTTCAAAAGGAGGGACAGATATGTCCAGTATATAGAGGTTTCAAAAGGAGTGACAGATATGTCCAGTATATAGAGGTTTCAAAAGGAGTGACAGATATGTCCAGTATATAGAGGTTTCAAAAGGAGTGACAGATATGTCCAGTATATAGAGGTTTCAAAAGGAGGGACAGATATGTCCAGTATATAGAGGTTTCAAAAGGAGTAACAGATATGTCCAGTATATAGAGGTTCAATTGCAGCTACAGATATGTCCAGTATATAGAGGTTTCAAAAGGAGTGACAGATATGTCCAGTATATAGAGGTTTCAAAAGGAGTGACAGATATGTCCAGTATATAGAGGTTTCAAAAGGAGGGACAGATATGTCCAGTATATAGAGGTTTCAAAAGGAGGGACAGATATGTCCAGTATATAGAGGTTCAATACGAGCTACAGATATGTCCAGTATATAGAGGTTTCAAAAGGAGTGACAGATATGTTCAGTATATAGAGGTTTCAAAAGGAGTGACAGATATGTCCAGTATATAGAGGTTTCAAAAGGAGGGACAGATATATCCAGTATATAGAGGTTTCCAAAGGAGTGACAGATTAGTTCAGTACATAGAGGTTTCAAAAGGAGTGACAGATATGTCCAGTATATAGAGGTTTCAAAAGGAGGGACATATATGTCCAGTATATAGAGGTTTCAAAAGGAGTGACAGATATGTCCAGTATATAGAGGTTTCAAAAGGAGTGACAGATATGTCCAGTATATAGAGGTTTCAAAAGGAGTGACAGATATGTCCAGTATATAGAGGTTTCAAAAGGAGTGACAGATATGTCCAGTATATAGAGGTTTCAAAAGGAGGGACAGATATATCCAGTATATAGAGGTTTCAAAAGGAGGGACAGATATGTCCAGTATATAGAGGTTTCAAAAGGAGTGTATAGACAAAAGGAGTGACAGATATGTCCAGTATATAGAGGTTTCAAAAGGAGTGACAGATATGTCCAGTATATAGAGGTTCAATACGAGCTACAGATATGTCCAGTATATAGAGGTTTCAAAAGGAGTGACAGATATGTCCAGTATATAGAGGTTTCAAAAGGAGTGACAGATATGTCCAGTATATAGAGGTTTCAAAAGGAGTGACAGATATGTCCAGTATATAGAGGTTCAATTAGAGCTACAGATATGTCCAGTATATAGAGATTTCAAAAGGAGTGACAGATATGTCCAGTATATAGAGGTTTCAAAAGGAGGGACAGATATGTCCAGTATATAGAGGTTTCAAAAGGAGTGACAGATATGTCCAGTATATAGAGGTTTCAAAAGGAGTGACAGATATGTCCAGTATATAGAGGTTTCAAAAGGAGGGACAGATATGTCCAGTATATAGAGGTTCAATTGGAGCTACAGATATGTCCAGTATATAGAGGTTTCAAAAGGAGTGACAGATATGTCCAGTATATAGGGGTTTCAAAAGGAGGGACAGATATGTCCAGTATATAGAGGTTTCAAAAGGAGTGACAGATATGTCCAGTATATAGAGGTTTCAAAATGAGTGACAGATATGTCCAGTATATAGAGGTTTCAAAAGGAGCGACAGATATGTCCAGTATATAAAGGTTTCAAAAGGAGTGACAGATATGTCCAGTATATAGAGGTTTCAAAAGGAGTGACAGATATGTTCAGTATATAGAGGTTTCAAAAGGAGTGACAGATATGTCCAGTATATAGAGGTTTCAAAAGGAGTGACAGATATGTCCAGTATATAGAGGTTTCAAAAGGAGTGACAGATATGTCCAGTATATAGAGGTTTCAAAAGGAGTGACAGATATGTTATATAGAGGTTTCAGTATATATATAGAGGTTTCAAAAGGAGTGACAGATATGTCCAGTATATAGAGGTTTCAAAAGGAGTGACAGATATGTCCAGTATATAGAGGTTTCAAAAGGAGTGACAAATATGTTTAGTGGAAGAAAATCCCAAAGATTTCATTCATTCCTCTCAAGTGTGTTTAAAGATGTTTAAGTAATCTAGTAATTAATAACATAATAACATAACGCGAGCATTAGAAACCGTTTTGAGTGACAGCATCATGTTGAAATTGGGCGTCGTAATCGCGCCAAATGAGGTATGGACAAGTGTTCTGTCCTCACTTCACATCGACACGTTATGGTCATATTCGGGATTAAATGGAGGATAGCGAGGAAGGACTAGACATAACAAAAGGATGGATACCGGGTATAGGTACCTCATCCTCCGTTTTCATGGTTTTCGACATTTTTCCAGAAAATCAAATCAGTAGTGTTTATATTTCAATCTCAATAATCGAAAAATGTGAACAACTTTCTTATCTGTATCAAGTGACATGACAACCCCGAGTTGTCGTTCTTGTTGCAATGTAGGACTCGGCTGTGGTCAGCATAACAATTTTTATTTTACCAATTTTCATAAAAGGTGAAATATCCATATGTCTAAAAAAAATGTGAGGGTGCACCAGCAAAATTTAAAGACACACTGAATACATAATATCTACACCTGCTAATTAATATTTTGGGCTGTTGGCATTTTTATTTTGTTCGGATGTGGAAATGGCTGTAGGGGTTGGGGAAAGGGTAGGGGTTGGGGTGTTACTAAAGGAAATCATACCTTAGATCTTCAGGAAATACAGTATGGTAGATTCGTTGTAATTCACTTAAGATATTTTATAGAACAAACATTTCATATCAAGTTAAGTAGAGACGGAAATGTTCTATTGGTAATTCAAAGGTGAGTGTGCAGTACATGTATGTTAATAGGTGGGGAGCAATATTGGGGGTTGGGGTGTAGAATGACAATATCAAACGTTGAACATGGAGAAATGGAAGGGGCAGTAATATTAGCTGGGTAGGGATGGGCGTGGCGGTTATATATCTGTGGGCGTGGTCATCACTGTATATCCGTCGGTTGCTTTCAACCACAATCCCTAACATAGTTGAGCTATGGCAGATATTTTCATTGTGACAAACAGTGTAATACAGTGATTAAATTAAGATCATCACTTAAATATTCATATTGAATTTTTTTCTCAATGTACGCCCATCACGTTACTGAAATCGATATCATTCTCCATTCGTTTACCGAGAAGATTTTACAACTTATATTTGGTAATTGCTTTTCACAATTAAATGTTTAATTAAATTATTTCTTTGATTTTGCTTAAATATGTATTAAATTATGTAATATTCGAACAATCTTAGTCTAAAAATAGCAAGTTGAAAATGACTGTTGTCGGAATCGAACTCGCCCGTCACGTGACTTTATAAATCACGTGACTACATTGTTCTATATCACGTGAGTTTTCGCGGCGCTTAGTTACGAAGCAGTGTCAGATTCAGAAAACATGACTTCTCACGCGAATCATTATGGATAGATCAGATTATATGATAGGGGTTCCAAGTATCATGTCCTTTGCGGATGGTAAGTAGCTTTTGTTAATGTGTCTACACATATAGACTATATATCGATAAACGATCGTTAATGAAATGAATTCACGACAGACTCGGATTTTAGTCTGTTATTGAAGTTTTAAGTCGTAAAGGGAATATCTTTAAAATGACTTCGCTTTCGTTCTACATCATATTTTAAATTTAAGTTACAAATATCATATTGTGAATTGTTCACAGTTGTCTCTATGTGTTACACTTGTGTGTTAAATGCATTGATAACGAAACAATTGCGCATCTTACCGGTGTACTTGTGTCTATAACTCCATTACTCTCCATTCTCTTTCCGATTCCAGATACCGTCAAGGTGGTGAGGAGTGAATATGATCACGATTACGCTCGGGTAAATAATTTTTATAAACTTTTATTTGAAATGAATATTTACATTGTAATAATAATCACATAATATTCGGTATAAAGATATTTTATATTCGACAAGCCACAAATAATTTATACGGTGCTGTATTTTTAATTTCAGTCATACGTCCCTACCCCGGAAGTGAAGGAAGAATTAAAGAAAATTTCCGGAAAACTCGGGGATTGTTGTAAGTTATATCAACCGTTAACAAAGTTATAATCGACATATATCAGATGTCATATTATGGATATAACTAGGTTATCATGTTATGGTTTAAGTTGTACATGAAGTTCTTTTTGGATCGTTTACTCATATCTGATATGATAAAATATGTCTGCATCAAGTTCAGCTAGGTCGAGTAAAAGTGGCATAGTTTGAATATGGGTCTTTACAATCAACGATTGTGTTCAATAAAATAAATTAAACAACAAAAATATTAACAGAAGTTATGATGTACATCTATTAATAAAAACAATTGAAATTTAATTTTTAATGCTTGAATAATCGTATCATTAGATTTGTTACAATATATCTTGGAACTTTTCATTCTTTTATTCTATATCAATAATTTGTTTTTTATTTATGTAGTGTATGATGACTACAGAAGAGAGATAGATACTCTCAAGGTAAGATAATTAAATAACATGAATTCCTATGTGTGCAAAATCAGATTTTCATAGAATCGAATGGAAAAGACATATCTACTAGAAAATTGATCTTTGTTTATTGTTTGCTAGCAAAACAAATCTAGATGAATTATAAATGGGGAAAAACAAACAGCTTTGCATTAAGATCCTTGATCTGTTTGAGTATACATGTATTTACTTATATCGCCTGTTGTTGTTAGTATTCAACCTTTTTTATTTTCCCCTTTTTTATTATTTTATAAGTTGAAGGGTGTTGGTGTCCTCTCGATTGCCTTTGTTTATATATTTAAGTTTTAACAGACTGTTTATTTTGTTCCAGCCAAATGTACATATTGATAATGAAATAGCAATATTGATGGCAGCCGAGGAAGATGTAAAACAGTCCAGACGAAGTAAGTTAAACTTATCAGGTATTCTGAACAACTTGTAGACATATCATTCAACTAAAATGTATATTGAAATTTCAAGGGAAAAATGTATTTTACAACACAAATATTATTTGTTCAAAGGTATGTGTTAGGAATAACTATTTTCTGAACTGGTAGAATATTGAAACAATAAAGTGTTATGACAATAATTTATATGATACATGTAGATATGATACATGTCACATGTATGTATGAGGGTCAAATGAACTCAAGGATCATTAACAGTGGTAGTAAATAAGTAAGAAATAACATCAGTACTATGAGATGAAAAGTTACAAAAATAATTTGGCTCCCTGTTATGGTTGTGTTTCCATTTCTTTCAGATCTCAGAAGGAGAGCACGGAATATTTGTCCAGTAAGTACACAATTTACAGCCCTCTCCCACTCCTTCGATCCTCACCCACCCAAATCCATCGTAATAAATAAATCAATAAATACAAATGGTGAGAAAGTATAGATCCTGAAGAAACAAATCGTATTATGCTAAAACTGAAGGGAGTTCAGTGGTCATGACTATCAAGTGTCTTAATGTTAAAATCTATGCAGCAATTCACATGGATAGTGGTACATTTATATAAATAAATATAAAATTGTGAATGCACCTTCTCCCTAAACCCACAGACCACCCCCACCCCTGATATTAACCGAAAGTCAAAGAAACTAGTGTCATGTTATATCTAATCTTTTGATTTAAGATTTTAAATTAAGTTAAATTTAATTTCAGTCGAGTGGACCCACTAAGGAAGAAGAATATGAACTGAAATATTTGAACAAACAATCTCTTCGAAAGATGTATGGTAAGATTGTAATGATTTAATCAAATAAGTGTTGTGAATAACATCTGTACATTTTGGTCCCTGATTTTTAGAAATGTTGTGGAAACAGATAATAAATTACGCCATCATAATACCTGAGTGCACTATATAATCATTACTGCATTTAAAATATTTGATTTAACTTTTTGGACATGTTAGATAATCTAAGACTGTAATGTTAACATCAAGTTATTTAATTTTTTTATTTTGTGTTTATTTATCTATTATAAGGATTTGTTCTATAATATGTTTTCATTTTGCAGAACTAGAAGATTTTAAGCGAGATTTTAAGACAAAGGTATAACCATTCAATAGTCTACATTCAATAGATAAGAGATTACATTTTACAATTAACCAATAACAACGATCAATAATCTGTCTTAAAGATGTTACATTTTACTTTAAAATTTATTTTTTTAAATGTGAACATGACAGAAGAAAATTTTCTTTACCAAATAACTGATGTTTTTCATTTTTTTACACTGACCATTTCTAAAACACTGTACGTTAAGAACTTGTCAATAATTCTTCGTTAATTTTATTCCAGCCCTTCGTTGCAACCGAAATGGTGGATTTGAGTTTTGAAAGAATTGAAGACAATATCCGAAAGAGACAACAGGGTAAGTAATTTCTCAGAATGACGGAATATTATGTGCTGGGTGATCTCCCCTGTATAGTGTTGACTGGACTATTCCTGGATTATCTCCCTTATCAGGAGAAAATTGTCAATGTATACATAAATTCATATTTAAAGCCAAATGTGAAAAATCATTCATTGAGTGTGGCCTGAGTAATGTCATTATGAATTGTACTCTATTACCAATGTCATACACCATTTAAACATAGAATTATCGACCATTTCCAGCTCTCCAGAATCTTCGAAGAGAAATCTATGAGGCAAGTATATTTTGTTAACATCTAATCCAGTCTTTATCAGATGTATCAATTATATATTCGTGTCTAAAAAATGTTCACATATTGTTGTGAGTAAGTCACTTTAACAGTAATGCATGCACACACTATCATTGTCACGTTCAACATCTTATTAAACTGAGACGACAAAAACTTCAACAGCATTATAATATGACATTTAGTCAGTGAATTTGTTAGTTTTACTGTTTTAATTGTATTACAGGCATCTGTACTCCAATTGGCAGGGTATTATGCGAAGGCCAAAGGTAATACTATAACTTTCCCTTCTATTACAATTTAATACCTGTAGTTGTTATGACACTGAATGAAAATAGAAATATCTCAAATACACATTGTAATAGAAAGACATTGAGCTGTCACAATCTTCAATGATCAGTTTATTTTGATATTTCTATATTTATACAATGTATTATATATAATTTCTTGTAGAGCTAAAGGAAACTTACACAGAGGCTTCAGTGGTTAATTTATCCAATGCTACTAAACCAGATCAGACATCAAAGACAAATGTTGAAAAGTCCAAACATCGACCAAAGTCTGATGAGAGAAAGTTTGAGCGCATACCTGGAACTGCTGAAAAAATTTCAAAAGCTTTGCCCAAGAATGCAGTAGAAAAGTCCACACATGACACTAAGAAAAAGACTAAAATGGAGAAACCCAAGAAAATTTCTAGAGGCAGCAGTGAAAGTGACACGGATGGAGATGATTCCTACACCAATGTAATGGAAACATACCAGGCTGAGAGATTGAGATTTGAAAAGAATTTGGAAATCTTCTCTGCACGTCTGGAAGAATTTATGGACTCTCATCGAAAGATACACAAGGAGGAGGAAGTCTCTATCAAACCAAAGAAAAGACAACAAAATGATGTCAAAATATTCAAAGCAGTCCAGGCCAATGTCAAGATGGTCAACAACAATGTCAAAGCAGTCAAGGCCGATGTCAAAATGATCGACAACAATGTCAAATCACTCAAAACTGATGTCGAAGCTCTCAAATCCGATGTCAATACTCTCAAAAGCGATGTGAATGCACTCAAAAGCAATGTCAAAACTGTTAAAGCAGATATCCAAACCGCCAAGGCAAAAGTCAAAACTGTCAAAGTGGTCAAATCTGATGTCAAACTCGTCAACGATGATGTCAGACCTGATGTCAAAACAACAAAATCAGATGGTAAAATCGTCCTCCAGGAAAAAACGAAGGTTGCTCAACGTGACAGAAAACAGAGAAGATCTAGTGAGAAGAATGATGTGACTACTGTCTCCCAACATGATTGTCAGGAGAAAATTCAACCTCAGGCAGTCCAGGAAGAAAGAAGGAGGAAGAAGAAAGTCTTTCGTCTTCCCAGGGAGGACATTCAAGCTTACGTGGATTCCTGTGATCATGAAAGGGCAGAAAGTAAGTAAAATTTGTATATTTATCTTGTTGCTTTTCTTTCAATCATAGATTGGTTAAGGGAGATTTGCACAGCATATCATTTCCACACTTCCATTTAAAGTCATTCCTTCCTTTTAAACCGCCACCATCTATAAAACTGCCTGATGAGCCGATGAAATCACATTTTTATTTTGTTGTCATTAGAGATTGGGTCTTTCTTATACAATTCTTGTTATCGCTACTTCAAATGTATAGGATGAATAACTCTTGAATTTCATATGTATGTTCCTCATGGTCTGTTGTTATGTATTGTCTAATGACTGACAGGTGGCCATCTTGGATTTGAAGATATCTAAGAGGAATTTCTAAATTTCATATAATAAAAAGCAAAAACAAAGGAAAAAGGAGAAGAGAGAAAGAAAGAAAGAAAAAAATCCAACTTTTAAAGACCAATTAGATATAAAGCAGTGAAGGTCCATCTTAGATAACATGTTAAAGATTTTTAAAATGAAATTGTTATTTTCAAAAGAAACCAGTGAAACGCTTGTACGTTATCATCTGACAACCATCCTTTTATATTTTTAGCTGTATTCACAGAACATTGTACAAGGATAGATAATATATTAATTTTGTTTCATAGAACGAAGACCAAAGAAAAGGAAAGAGACAAGTGTAAGCAGCATTTCTGAGGTGCTAGATTTTCCACTGAATCAAGAGGAAGAAAATGGTGGCGAGGTTACCATGGATATTGTGATGCAGGAACTGGATAAGGAAGAAAATGATGGCGAGGATACCATGGATATTGTGATGCAGGAACTGGATGAGGAAGGAAGTGATGTAGATGTTGCTGATGAGTTGAGTGAGCAGCCAGTGTGTGAAGAAGAAAGTGATGGAGAGATTTCCAAGGAATTAGTGATTCTGCCATTACCCACACTCGACCCCATGCCTGTGTATATTGACAGTAAGTTGTCAACTGTCCTTTATTGTTTGTATGTAAATAATATTTAGACCTGTGATGTAAACAGTAGTTTAACAATATTGGCACATTTCATGGAACAAAGTGATTTCATTGAACATTTATGTTTTGGAAAAATTGATAAAAAGCCAACACTAATCTAACAAATATGATAAATGTATGATATAATGAAAAATATCCATTTGTTTAAGATGTAATATTTAAATTTTTAGATTTCCAAGCAAGTTGTGTACTGACCCAGCTATTTTCTAGCAGGTATGTTAATTTTGTCACTTCTTTCATAGATGACAAATATCAGTGTTGTCTGGACTTTTTGCAAATTTAATGAAAATTTAATGAAAGGAAAACATCAAAGTGTGAATATATATGTATGTAATTAACAAATGTAAAGATCACTTTTAATACTGATTTTTCACCGATAGACAAAAAATATCACATGTATTTAGTCATGATGTAAATTTGTAGATTAAGCCTGTTTTTGTGTTATTGTAGAGATGACTATGATGAGAACTTTGAAGCAGACTATGTGATTCCTCCCTATGAGAGCGAGAGAAGGATCTATACTAAACAAAAGAAAGTGTACTGTCACCAAAATAAACAACACACTGGACAGGGGAGGAAAATCGTACATGTAGCACCACAGCGCCGCTAATTTACCAACTTAAACAGAGATGTATTCCTGAAACATGAACGAAAACTGAAAACTGTATATATTAATTTTACATTTAGATTTTTAACTTGGATTAAAAAGGGAAAAAATGTGTTTTAAAAAAATCATATTATCATGCAAGATCACATTTAGGACTGAAGAACAGGTGTTATAACTTAAATAATATATTTCATTATTCAAAATATTTGGTTAAATTTAGAATTTAAAGTTGAAGTATTTACACACTTTTCAATGTTTCCATGAAAGTTGTATCAGTTAACACTTAGTCATGCACATTAATTACATGTCATATGGACATTTTTATTTAATAACAAGGTACTTTGTACCTCATTATCCGTCAGTAATTAGCATTATCTGCCTTACAAGTCTTCCACACTGTATTTTCGCAGTTGAAGACTAAAAAAATAGTGTTGTTGTATAGATTTATCAATGTTATTCTGTGCATGTGTGTGTGTGTGTGTGTGTGTTTTGGGTTTTTTTATGTGAATTTCTCTCACAAATCTACAATTGTTATACAGTATGTTTTTAATGATTTACTGGTCTGTTTATATCTAGAGTAGTGCATTTGTTGTAAGAAAATAAGAAGTACATAGATTGTACATTTTATCTACCTATACATCATACATGTATGTTTCTATACATTTTCTACTTTCATTTTACATTCAATTGTTCAGTATAGCCTCTGCAATTTATTTACTCACAAGTCTTTTTATTTTTTTTTCATAAAATTTACAAATGGTCATAAGAAACAGAATTATATAAATTGCTCTTAATAACTAGTACTAATTAATATATATATATTTTGTTTTTTTTTAGTAATGTTTTATAACATCGTGTGGAAAGTACAAAATTGTAGGTCTAAATTTTGTGTCTAAAATAAAATATATTTTTACATTTTTGATCTGGATTCCATGAAGAGATAGATTTGATTGGGAGACAGATGTCATTGAAATTGTCTGTATTGTCTAGAAGACAGATTCGATGGGGATACAGACCCCCTTGGGCTTTTTAGAACCGTATTTAAGTAAGACTGACCATCTGTTAAATGTGAAGTAGGACTCTTTAAGGTTAAAGGTAAGCGTAATCGAATTATTGAATAACAAAAATAAGAGTCCGGTTATTTCGATTTTTAATTGAACTTAAACTTTTTATCTATTCGTTATATACAGTTTTGTACATTTCCACCAAATACATTTATCAGATAAAATGATATCCTTATTACTACATGTACATGTATTACCTCATTTAAAAAAAAATATTTCAGATTTTCTTTTCATCATTCAAATGTATATTTATACTGATAGCATTAAGACTTGAATGTGTTCGAATTCTTTATCAAAACATTATTTTTACAAAAAAATGGAAATGGTTCTTTGAGATTTTAAAGTTTTTGATAATTATATTAGAAACAGGATTCATCAATAGTTAATGATATTAATTACGAAGCATCTATATACAAACAGTGTCATTTAGATACTATAATAAAATTGTGAAATTAATCTGCTTGTTTGTGTTCATTTGGTGTGTTTTCAGTATAAATGTATGAAGTCTCCACACAAGTGAAGGATGTATCCAGTATACAGAGGTCCAACATATACAGGTGTCAGAATGAATAGCCCCCGTTTCCAGTAAACAAAGGTTCTACAGTAAAGGATGTATGTATCTGGTATATCAAGGGTCAACACTAGGAGGCATATATAGGGAAGTTTCAATTGGAGCGACAGATTTGTCCAGTATATAGAGGTTTCAAAAGGAGTGACAGATATGTCCAGTATATAGAGGTTTCAAAAGGAGTGACAGATATGTCCAGTATATAGAGGTTTCAAAAGGAGTGACAGATTTGTCCAGTATATAGAGGTTTCAAAAGGAGTGACATATATGTCCAGTATATAGGAAAGTTTCAATTGGAGCTACAGATATGTCCAGTAAAAAGAGGTTTCAAAAGGAGTGACAGATATGTCCAGTATATAGAGGTTTCAAAAGGAGTGACATATGTCCAGTATATAGAGGTTTCAAAAGGAGTGACAGATATGTCCAGGATATAGAGGTTTCAAAAGGAGTGACATATGTCCAGCATTATAGAAAAGTTTCAATTGGAGCTACAGATATGTCCAGTAAAAAGCGGTTTCAAAAGGAGTGACAGATATGTCCAGTATAAAGAGGTTTCAAAAGGAGTGACAGATATGTCCAGTATATAGAGGTTTCAAAAGGAGTGACAGATTTGTCCAGGATATAGAGGTTTCAAAAGGAGTGACAGATATGTCCAGTATATAGAGGTTTCAAAAGGAGTGACAGATATGTCCAGTATATAGAGGTTTCAAAAGGAGTGACAGATATGTCCAGTATATAGGGAAGTTTCAATTGGAGCGACAGATATGTTCAGTATATAGAGATGTATGTAGTGGAGAAGCAGTAGGGGAGGGGCAGCTATGTAGGAGATGGAGAGTAATGAAGTCCTGTAGGGAGTTTCAAGGGTAAGTACTATTGGGAGAGAGATACTATTAGTACGGATGGGGAGTAATGTAATGTAAAAGTAATATTGTAGTGGAGGCTATATATGAGAAGAGTATTTTAGGGGAGGGGTGGGAACATCTATGTACGGGAGGAGAATAATGTAGTGGAGGAACATTTTTTTTAGAGGAGGGGTAGCATCATAGGGAGAGGGTTAACGTTTTAGGGGAGGGCATTTATGTATGGGAGGATGGTCATGTGGTGGATGAACAGTAGTGTATGGAAGGGACAGCTCTGTATGGGAGGGACAGCTCTGTATGTGATGGGGGTAATGTAGTGGAACGGCAGTATTGTAGAGAGAGAGCTGGTAGCATTGTATGGAAGGGCATCAATGTATGGGAGGGGGAGTAATTGAGCGAGGGGCAGTGTTGTGGGGGAGGAGAAGCTCAGTAAGGGAAGGTGAGTAATGTAGTGGAGGGACAGCATTGGATGGGAAGGGCAGCATTGTAGGGGGAGGGCAGCATTTGATGGGAAGGGCAGCATTGTAGGGGGAGGGCAGCATTGGATGGGAAGGGCAGCATTGTAGGGGGAGGGAAGCATTGGATGGGAAGGGCAGCATTGTAGATGAGGGGCAGCATTGGAAGGGAAATGTAGCATTGTAGGGGAAGGGCAGTAGGTAGGGGAAGGGTAGCATTGTAGATGAGGGGCAGCATTGTAGGGGAGAGGCAGCATTGGATGGGAAGGGCAGCATTGTAAGGGGAGGGCAGCATTGTAGGGGGAGGGCAGCATTGGATGGGAAGGGCAGCATTGTAGGGGGAGGGCAGCATTGTAGGGGAAGGGCAGCATTGTATGGGAAGGGCAGCATTGTAGATGAGGGGCAGCATTGTAGGGGAAGGGCAGCATTGTAGATGAGGGGCAGCATTGGAAGGGAAAGGTAGCATTGTAGGGGAAGGGCAGCATTGTAGATGAGGGGCAGCATTGGATGGGAAGGACAGCATTGTATGGGAGGGGCAGCATGGTAGGCTATTGGCGGCATTGTTGGGGAGGGGCAGCGTTATAGGTGAAGGGCAGCATGGTAGGGGAGGGGTAGCATTGTAGATGAGGGGCAGCATTGGATGGGAAGGGCAGCATTGTAGATGAGGGGCAGCATTGGATGGGAAGGGCAGCACTGTAGGGGAGGGGCAGCATTGTAAGGGAGGAGCAGCCTTGTAAGGGAGGGGCAGCGGTGTAGGGGAGGGGTAGCATTGTAGGGGAGGGGCAGCATTGTAAGGGAGGAGCAGCCTTGTAAGGGAGGGGCAGCGTTGTATGGGAGGGGCAGCATGGTAGGCTACTGGCGGCATTGTTGGGGAGAGGCAGCGTTATAGGTGAAGGGCAGCATGGTAGGGGAGGGGTAGCATTGTATGGGAGGGGCAGTATTGTAGATGAGGGGCGGTAATGTACGGGAAGTCACAACATTGTATGATAGGGGCAGTATCTGAGATGGATCGTGGATGACAATGATGGCATCAATTAAAGGAAGGGTGTGGCAGTTACATATACATTGTTCATAATATATATGTTTACAAAACAAGTTTTCATTTCATTTTCTTCTCACTCTGTACAATAGTATAATTACACTAAAGGACTTTAGAGCATATCGCCTTGAAAATTGAAATATGAAACGGAGTATTTTCAAAATAACGACAGATCTAGAGTTGTGATCAGGCAAGAACGAACTGAAGAAGATAATCACGCAAAGCACGTGTAATATTTACACGACGTGCTCTGTTTAACACCTGTGTTATAACTTTGCTTGATTCGAGTATTCAGCACTGTTAGCTTCGTGCTATATTAGGGCATTTGTTTGAAGCGTTATCGATAAAATGCAGATATTTACACAAACGTACATACATTTAATGTAAATTGATAAGTTAAAACGTTCCGTTTTGACAAATTCCTGCCGTTACAAGGAAGTAATACTGTTATTTGCCAGAAACCTACACGCAGATGTACCGATTGAACTCACTTGTATATGATCGAATTTATTGAAAATAAATCATGCATTTGTTTAATAAGGTGTCCAAATACTTACATTATATTTGTAAATAATATTTAGGGTAACATCCACAGTGTGTATCGACAGTATATAATCCTCATAAAGGTACACAGGACACCATTTTCCTTAGAATTCACTCATAGGCCCACACTTGTCGGTATACGCCATTTAAACATATGCTCAGTTTTGATTGGTTGGTCATATGTGAGTGTTTTTCATGTTTAAAGGTGTAGGTCAAGAACGAAAATGCACGTGTTTTTCGCGCATAATGTTTTAGCTGCACCTGTGTTGTTTTTAGTTGTTGTTTTTTTGTCGTTGGTGAAATTTATGTCTTGCAAATAAATAGTATATTTACTAAAACACGTGTAACTGTTTGATCAAACAGCAGTGAGATGAAAAAGTAAAGTTTCACCAAAAACAGGAAAACAATTGGAAAATCGTGACAGACATTGTAATGGTAAACGATAACTAGAGAGAATTAAATTTTCTGGATTCTACACAACATGATGCTCGCATTATCACAGGGTTAACTCGGAGTGCAAATCAGTGTATCTCGTATCGATCGCAAAAAAATGTTGCCCTCTTTTTATTTATTTATTATTATTTTTTTTTATATTTTTAATTTTTCTCGTCTCATCTTCACGAACAACTTCATAATATAGAAAAATCATTTGAATCATCTGATACTCCAAGAAGCCATTTAGACTTCAATTGTAGATCATATCATTTTCTCCATAAACTCTCGTTTTTCTTCACCTCCGTTGGAATATTAACATAATAATTATCGTTACCACCTATTTTTTTTTATATCATAATAGCAGAAAATTGGAAATTATTGATTATTATTATCAGATATATACAGGCTTTTTGTATTTCACCTCACTGGTATTGGTAACCCTATCTGTTTATGTGCGTTTTTTTTTTCCCTTTGAAGACTATGACCGTTATATACATACACAACAGATGTGCCAAGGTAATACTAATAAGTACTAATTTTAACAAACGTCTAATGTGATAAAACTATGCTTGAAATGATTTCAAGATATTATTATATACATACACAACAGATGTGCCATGGTAATACTAATAAGTACTAATATATAACAAAATATAGTTAGACAACGTAATAGCCATATGGCAACAAATACACTAACTACATATTTTAGGGGGGGGGGGGTGGCAGAGAGAGAGAAAGGATTCGTAATTGTTGTCCATAGTGTTAAATTAAGATTTATATGAAATGTGATGAAAATGAAACAATATTTGATTATCACAATATTAGTCGTCTGTGTAGGGCAGTAAGTTTGTCCAATAAGAAAATAAACATCAGCGTTTTGTGTTTGTTTGTAGAAATTTTCATAAAAATCTGACAGCATGTGAATTGACCAATTAGGCTGCAGTTGACAAGTCAGATGACCGATCGCAAATGAAAAAAAATGCTCTTGCACGTTCCCTCTCATACCATAATACTTTTGTAAAGTTCCGTTGAATTCCTTCCAATGGTTTTCGAGAAACGTGTCGGAAACCTCGACGGCGGAAGAAAGTAAAGAATTTTTTTATGGCGCGCAATCTGACTAGTCTGAACTTGCCTGGACACCGGACAATAAAGCACACTGAAAATATAAAACAGTTGCCAGTCACTAATAAAATAAAGATTTATATTCTTTTCTGTGTTTATGAACAAGCTTATATATGTATCACTACAAGAACAGTAACACGTTCTCGTGATTAAATGATGTTAAAATTAAGGAAATATCTGACGATATAAATGTACGATAGAAGTGGGTTATACTTTATGTAGATTAAATAATATTTAGCAATGGAAATATTTGTCGACATCCGCCAAGGTAAATCATAATATATGAATATTAAATGGTGTTAACAGAAATAAAAACATCTGCCGACAAATGCTAGAGGTAGCTATTATATATGAGGATTAAAATGGAGATGAAACACTTAGGGAAATATCTGACGACAATTGCTAGAGGTAGGTGTAATATTTGATAAATATTTGACATGTGGTAAATGTTAATTTAATATTTGAGAATGAAACGTAAGTGAAACGAGACTATATCTTACGACACACGTCAGAGGTAGATGTTATGTATAAGCTTTAATGAAGATAAAACAAGGGAAATAAATCTACCAATATACGCTAGAGGTAGGTGTAATATATGGTAGGTTTAAAATGATTTTATGTAAGTATACAACTAGACATGTAATTAAGATTTATAATTTGACAAAGATATATGATAAAAGGATTTAATTATGATCAATCAAGAAAAATTTACGATTCCGAAATAAAGTGACATGCGCGCAGGGGTATGGGTAGCTACTATGTACTTGTATGAAGATTGTTTAAAGATGATTCAGAGTAGAAACAAAACTTAGTGACATACGCCGGAGGTAGGTACGCTACGATATGTGTGCAAAACGAAGCATGTTAATATAAGATTGATTAAGCTAAATCTTTTACGAACCGGTACCAGGAAATCCTGCTTCATTTTTGTATAACGTATCACATCACTTACATGAAAGAAAAAAGGTAAATACATTATCGGGACAATCTTGTTCCCTTTTGCCTTATGATTTAATAAACAATATCAGTATTCTGTACATTGTCATTTATTCATAATTATTAAATGATTAATTCAGATAGTTTAAGTCCATAGTATCTGCAAATAGGCAGAAAGAAAATTTCAAAAACATCCTGTAGTACAAACATACGTGCATGTACATGTATCTGTATACATGTGCCTCTTCATTTTATATGTAGACTAAGTCTTGTTGCCTTATAAAACAAATCATTGTCGGAAAATTTAAAAGTTACATTTATAACCAAATAAAAAAAACCTTTTTTACACTAAATTCGCAATCAGCTCTCTATAGGTCACCCAGACGCTTTCATATGGCGAGACTGCCTTTCAGGATGTAAATGAGTGCAAGCATCTTTTAGACTGGGACTAAATCGTGTTGACGAGATGGCAGCAAGGAATCCGGGGACAGAGTTTGGTAATTTCTGTGTTTTTTTTACAAATTTTCGAAAATTTAGCATGGTTGATATTTACCGAAAGGTATCATGACACGAAAACATACAACCAAACAAAACAACATTGATGTCAATTTCGACAAATGCGTTTATTTTGGAAACATTAGTTTGACCTACTTATTAGTGTTTCTGCAGTCGTCTGCAAACTAGGCCAAGAGTAGGGTCAATTTTTTTAATGGAAACTTTTCCATAATATGCTGGTCATTTCACGGATATAAAGTAATGGAATTGATATACGCATGTTTTTTTTTTATATATATATTTGAACGAGTTAAGCTTTTATCTTATCCACTGGCGGTAGTATGCTTGTGTTGCCTGGAAGTTATCAGTAGATATGGCAGGCTGTACATACATGTATTGTGACCATATACCTAGCCCAAGTTTCTTCTTCCCTGATACCACTCGTAAGATATTTTGACGTTTTGTGGCGTTGATTCACACAAACTAGGCAAAACGTAAAAAATACATATAGTACAATTAATCATAGTCATGCACTGCCCCCATTGTCCTCATCATTAGCGACATTACAGTTAGACCTTTTCCTGTTGTCAAAACCGTTACACCCAGGTTTGTTTGTTTATGGTTGAGCATCCCTAATTTTACCGAAGAAGCTGGAGTTGTGGCCAGAAGAGGAGTTATGCTTTTCCCTCTTTATGAGTCAGTGGTCCTGCTCATGTTGTAATGTTGTAATATAGCTGTTCTCTGGATTGGACTGGCATACAACATACCCCAGGCCATCCAAGGTTGCCCGGTCTCTGCAGGCAGTTTTCAATGGTCCTGATGAAATACCCCCTTTATTTAGAGCACAGATATAAGGCTTGCCATGTGCCTCACCTGGAAACCTGTCATTGTGACAAAACCAGCATACTAGACAATATAACTGTATTACATGGTATGTTCGGGGTTAGAATTAATAAAAGTTACTGAGTTTGGTGCCTGATTTACCACATATGTATGTGTATCATAACTTTGGTATACTTCATTATTCATTGATAAACTCTAATTTCCATTGGTTGGACATCACACTTCTATTATAAATTACCTGGTAGGAAACCATGCTGACCCAATTAATTGTTACCAATGACAACACTGAATCTATGAAGTTAATGTCCATCCATGACCCAGCAACCACCTTAGTATCATCTTTACAATCATTTTGACATGAATGATAAATGTCTATGCTTAACATTACTTTTATGATGTTTTCTTTGTTTGGAATAGGCTACTGTGAAATGAGTTACTTTTGATGAGCTCAAATTTTGTTGGTTTCCGAAAAATATGCTTTTTGTTTGGCACTTTTTATTTTGTGTATAAATCTTGCTCACAAAATCCACTGGTATTATAAGCCATATCAGCTTATCTGTTTATCATTGCATGGATATATGAAATCATGGTTTTAGAGTAGCCATGAATTCAATGAAAATAAATACCAATTGATGATTTTACAGTATACCTGGTACTGTAACAGGATTAGTAAACAGATTATTTCCAGTATTAGCCCAAACTGGTGTTTGCTTTGATCATCCTTACTAATAATTTAATTTCTAACTGCCATATTGATCAGTTAATGTAGTCAATTATTTCGTCTGGTGTGATCTTTCAGATGCCTGTTGGTTAGAGAATGTGTGTGTAAACTTACCAGCAGTGAAACGGAGATGTGAGACTCTGGCAGCACGGCGCACAGTTAAAAAACAATGGCAGGTCAGTAATTACAGTGATCAGTGCAATATCAGACATGACTTGTCAGTGTTGTATAGTTGAGTTGTGAAACCCTGGCAGCTAGACGCACAGGTAAAAAACAGTGGCATGTCAGGTACTGAAGTAACCAATTGTAAAACTTTATTTGTTAGTGTAATTGTAACAACTTACAAGTCAGATACACAAAAAGATAAAGTAGAGTGATCAGCTGTAATAGTTTTAGCTGTCAATGTTATTGTTTGGTTAGTAAAAAGTTGATTGTGAATCTTGATTGATTTTTCAATGTTAAACGCCCATCAGAATGTGAGCTATCTACAGGTGTGTTATGGGTAATGGCATTTCACTCTGTTAGATATTTCAACAAAAATCAAAACAAAATACAATGATACAGTTAAATATCTCATAACCACTTTAGGTATCTTGTCGATGATGAGCCACCCAAATACTTCAGTTGTAACTGAGGAATATGATTTTGTGGTTAAAACATTTGGTTTGTGTATTTATAGGCGGCGTGGCTGTTGCGAGCGGTAACATGTATAGATCTGACCACACTCTCTGGAGACGACACAGCCACTAATGTCAGTCGACTTTGTTTTAAAGCAGCAAACCCTGTGCGTGATGATTTAATCAGTGCACTGGGAATGAAGGACCAAGGTGAGTTATTATGCTTGTCTGATAATAAATTAATGTTAGGTAAAAGGTACAATCATATCTGTTAGTTTCAGAAGTAATATCAGCAAATCATACATTACATTTGTGTAATAATCCCACTCACTGATGTTAAGTTTATTTGCTGTCCACTGGACTAGAAAGGAGAAATACAGTGTATGTTGTTGATTTACAGTTACAATTTGATTCCTTTTTTCTCCTTTCCTTTCATGTCGTTATACCAGACGTTAATTATGCAGACTTCTTCTTGCAAGATGATTTCATTGAAAAATTGTGTAATCGCAATGAAAATGAAGAGATTAATTTTTTTTGTTTAAGGATTGACAGTTGGAGCTGTCTGTGTGTATCCCAACAGAGTGGCTGAGTGTAAGAAATACTTAAAGGCAGCAAATGCTTCACACATACCTATTGCATCAGGTAAGGTTACACAGGTTAAACATTTTGTAACATTGTATAACATCAAACTGGGATGACAAATTATGGTTAAAAAAATGTTTTTCCCTACCTCAAGTTTTTAATATTATCAAAAGTTAGATGTAGTTTGGGTGGCTGTCTGTATTTCTCAAAACAGATCAATAATGGTTGTACACAATAGATGTATTAGCTCTGTGTTTTATGGCATTAGTTGATTTGTTTCCTTTGGCTCTTTCATCAGAAGTTAGACATCTTGACAGATGTTTTACAACCCCAGTTGTTTTAAGACTGGATAGGTATAACTAGTGGTTAGTGAAATTTTTCAGATGTGATTCGAACAAAATTTAAAACTATATTTATCATTTCATAGTTGTAGATTCATTCAGACAGGTTTGATTAATATATTTTGAATTTTAATTTTTGCCTTTAATACTCTCAGTTTTTATTGGCAACAATTTTTTTTCACTAACCAGTGGTTACTCTAACTAAACTTCATGTAACATGGGCCTGGTATTTTAACCAGAAGAAACTAGATTTTTTTAATACATTATATAAAAATAAAGTATGTATATCATTTGTAAAGACATAATAAGTATATGTCAATCAAGTATTTATAAATATCCCCCAATAAAAATCTTGATATTGTTTTACTTTATTCTTATATTCACAAAAAGTAGTAAGAATCTGGAACACATGATGCTGAATCAGTGATTGTATTTAACACAGAAGAAATTTCATGTTGTTCTTCCTGTTTCAGTGGCTACCGGTTTTCCATCAGGACAGATGCCACTGAAGACAAGACTTGAGGAGATCAGACTTGCAGTTAGTGATGGCGCATCTGAGATAGATATTGTGATAAACCGACAGTATGCATTGTCTGGTGATTGGTTAGGTAGGTATCCTAGTTGATAAAACTGGTATTGTCTAAGTTATATAACAGGACTGAAATAGGTATACATACAAACTGGATAGAGAGAAATTGTACTCATATTTTGATATACATATGTACATAGTTAAGTGAATCATGCCAGACAACCATCTATTACTCTAATGATCAATGAATTCCATTACATGAAAATTTGAGTTTGTCAATGTTATCATTACATTGAACGACCTAACAATTATATCACGATGCATTTCGAATGAAAATGGATGAGACACTCTGAGAAAAATCCTGCAAACTGGTTGTTCCTTTCAAACATTTTGAAATGTTGTCAAAATTGAAATACAGTAGTTAAATTGTGTTCATATTAACATTGTCAAACAAAAAAACTAAATTACTATCGGTGTCACTCTCTGAAACAATCTTTGAAAGGGATTTTATTTTGTACCTCAGTTACAGGGAGAAAGTTTGTAATTGTGTGCTTAAGCAAGGCAATATAGATGTGTATATAAGTTTGGTGGACAAGTTTTACAGAATGTTCTTCAGTCTAGATGTCTTTCTTCAGGTGTGTACAATGAGGTACGTGCTATGAAGGAGGCTTGTGGTGATGCCCATCTAAAGACCATCCTGGCTACTGGAGAACTGGGAAACATGACCAATGTGTACAAGGCTAGTCTTGTCTGTATGATGGCAGGTCAGTACACCTATTGGTATTATAATGGTATTAATCACACATCATATTAGCAAACCTTGTAGGAGGGACACATTAAGCACAGGAGCTTGTGCCATACTATGGTTAATATGGCATATGTTTGAAGATTATACTTTATTAATTAAAAGTACTGGGATCTGATGCTGGTTTATATGCCTTTAACATGAAAATAATAGGCATGTAGAAATTTGTAATATGTACATGAAATTTCATAGCTGTTCTTAACTTTTTAAAGAATTTTTACTGTGTTTTCTGGGATGAGTGCATATATTGATTTAAGTACTGGAAAACCTTGTTATTCTGTTACTCCTGCAAAGTTTTGTTATTAAGTGTTTTGACATTATATCAAGATATAAATATAAAGGATATTGTAGAGAATAAAATGAAAAGAAATATGTTGATAATATTGGCAGTGCTGAAATACACTTCATATTTATGAATAAATAAGGCATACTTGCATAGAAATTGCAACATTTTCCAAGTTGGTGTATTTCTACCAATAAGAAAATCATATTTTCAACATGTCAATTATCTCTTTAACTGATGTTTGAAAAATGAAACCATACTTTGATTGACAAATGTTTCTGATTATTTGTATATGTAGGTGCTGATTTCATAAAGACCTCCACTGGAAAGGAGGGTGTAAATGCCATCTTCCCTGTTGCCTTGGTGATGGTGAGGGCTATCCGGGAGTATTACCAAAAAACAGGTTTTAAGGTATGATAAAAAGTCCGCAGAACAGCATGTTGTTGGAGCATTGGAATTCAAACGCTGTGTAACATTATAAGAGAATGTGTTTGTTGTTGATATCAAAATATGCTGTAAAAAATGAATAAGCCATCTTCACTTGAAGTCATTCCAAATTTAAATAGCTTTAACATCAATAGCAGTTTAGCAACAGAAATATTAATTTCTATTTGTCATTGTGAAAATATGATATACAGAAAGCTTACATGTTAATCAGAAATCATTAAATTCTAGTGCTTTCATTTGTAACTTTGGAATATTTGTGTGTTAATAGGTTGGGTTCAAGCCAGCTGGTGGTATCCGTACTGCTAAGGATTCCTGTGCCTGGCTCATCCTGATGAAAGAAGAGCTCGGTGACGATTGGCTCAACAGTGACATGTTCAGGATAGGGGCCAGTTCTCTGTTGATTGACATTGAACGACAGCTGTATCATCATGTGTATGGAAATTACGCAGCTGCCCATGAATTTCCAATGTCTTAAAATGGATACCTATGTGTGAAGATGTTTAGTGCTAGCTAAAAGACCATGGTTCAATTATTTCAAAATGTTTGATGCTGTGTGAGTATCATACAAGTATAATCCTTTTAAGTGAGAACGTAATTTGTACTTAATTTTTATAAGAGGAAAATCATGTACCCGGTTAGTTATTAAAACAGGAAGTAAATTTATTTCGAGAAAGACTTTATGAAGATTATCATGGAATTGATTTATCCAGAAGTTGTTTCCTTCTACAAATGTATAACTACAATTTAAGATGATTTAAAAACTTAAAATAAAAAAGTGCCTTTCAACTTTGATATTTTCCCTTATTTATACATGGTATTTGAAAATATTCAAGACTCAAAGTTGAAGACATGTTTGAATATTGACACCTGATATTGTTTTGATAACCTACAGTGATTATCTGTGTACACTCAATGTCAATAAGGGATTTCATATTATTTTACATAAGGTTATATACTCTAGAACTAATGAGTACATTCACTAAATAAAAATCTAGTCATTTCACTTGTACTCAAAATTAAGAGTAGGTACTTATTTTTTTATTCTCCCAGTGGTATGTAATCAGGAATTCATTACAACATCCAATGAAATAATTGGTATTTTTTATCAAACATATGTTCTGTAAGCTGCTAGTATATATATATATAATTAGTGTATATCTATAGAGTTCGTAATATTTGTAGTTATCATCATAGATAAAAGGAGGTATGTTACTATCATCATACATGTATATATGAAAGAGTGTAGAACAAACCTCGGGAGAAAAGTCTAAATGTCTTTGTGATAGCAATTAAATTGTGTTCTTACTGAATTCTCCAGAGAATTTCATTAACTAACATACCTCACTGTCAGAGGTAGTCATTTTAGTGAGAGAAACATATTTTTGTATTTAGAATCTCCTTTGTTGAATTGAAGATTTTGTAACTCTATTACTCTTACCAAATGGATTTTGGTATGTGTTTAAATATGGATGTGGATAGTACTCAAACGATCATTTTTGTAACTTAAAATATATGATTCATTGGCAGTGATAATTTTATTGATAATGTTTTAACCTTTTTACTAGTTTTTTTTCTTGAAATAGGAATTTATCTTGTAGTCTGTTGTTTTTTGACAAGCCTTGACCTTCATTTTGAAAAGCAAACTCATTATTGATTACCTTAGTATGTCTGATTATTTTGATTTATACCCTGCTGAATTGATCCTCATTTATTGATACCAGTGCTAGACATTTCTTTTTCCATGGTAACAACTGCCTTGTTTGAATGTGTTTTAAATTTGTTCAGTATGTTTTGGTTCTTGTGTTTTTTGTTTGTTATGTGTTTTGTCCTATTTAGTTTTGTGTTTGATACACTTTGTGCTGTATGGTGAATTGTTACCCTTATGAAATATATAAACACAAAAAGTGCTAGTTTGTATTGTACAATTAAGTTTGTATGTACAATATACTTCAATAAAGATAAATGCAAAGACAAAATTTCCTTTAGTTTTTATTACATCATAATTTTTTCAGTTTTTTTTTCATTTACACATCACTCTCACAACATAAAGAAGGTGTCAAGCTGTACTTTGTAACATAACGATGTCAGTATTACCTTGGCTATAGTACAGGTAGTGGGGTACTAATCAGGTGATTATTTTTACATATTAACCACAAAATATGAATTAATTATAAAATAAATAAATAATCAAGATCACCAAACAGACAAGCCCGGGGTTTCCCAGCCATATTGGTTACACATATGGCTAATTGACAGATGACAATGATACTAATCAATATGCAATACGAAGCAACATTTACTTCAAATTCGATATAAAGCAGATCTGATTGGGAGAGTTGACGGACAAACTCCAGGCCAAGCTTACATTACAAGGAAGTACATAGCTGGCTGCACCATTATGCTATATAAACAGCACTAAGAGACTAGACTGCTATTACCAATGATGTTACCACTGAGGCTATTCACAGAACAGAATTACGATGCATTGATATATAACATACATTACAATATACAACATTGTTTAATACTACCTGTAACGATGTAACATGATGAAATATGTGACTACCATATTCGAAACAACTGAAAGATGATTTTTCCCGATAAGTAAAAGATATTCTTTGGGTCAAGAAATATACATATTATCAGAAACATCCATTTATTCTATATTGTATATCAATTCCAGTACCTGTATTAAAGCTTTTGGTTTAAAAATGCAAACAGTAACAATTAAAACAAATTGTAAAGTGATGTTAAGGCCTCATTTTATTACATGGTACATTATACATGTACATTTCCATTTATCTCTGATATGTCAAACATTTTACACTCAAACAATACTGATAATTAATTCAAATAATATGTAGATTATCAAACACAAATTTCTTCCTGGTCCCATATATAAGGAAAATTATCAAAATTATATATTGATATCTTGTTTTTTCATGATATTGTTGCACAATTTTATACTTAATTTCTGTATTTGATTTACAAAATCTTGGTCCTTCTCAATTCAATAATCAGACTTCATTCAAAATAAATACTGTAAATATAAGCTTATGAACGTACATATAAAGTAATCTTTGGAACATTTGTGATATTTCAGAAAATAATCTTGGTTTCATTTTGGGAAAATGATTAAAGTATGTTATGATGTGTTAAATTATGTGTGGGTGAATATGTTGATATGTGTAGAGTTTGTAAACAATGATTGTACCAAAAGATCTCCACTACACACTAACTTTTTTGAGAGTTAAGAAGATTTCTGATATCATTCTTTGTGGCCATAAGTCCATGTGTTTCTATACGGCTGAGGATAGCCTTATTCCATATACAGAACCCAAACAACAGTGTGAGGGCCACCAATAACATGCCACGGAACAGACCAAGCCAGGGCGGGATGTCGAGGGAGGACAACATATACAGCAGACATACAGATATGATGGCCAAGATTGTGTAGAACTGACTGTTTGATGACACTTTTCCAATTCCCCGCTCTATAAGGCTCTTGGCTTCTGACAATAATGGTTCCAAGCGGGTAGGGTCGCCATTATCATGAGGTGCTGCAATGGAAACGTTCAAAATACATACTATTTTTATCTAGCATATACATGCCCATTAAAACCATCCACATATATCGCAATATCAGCAAAACAAATAATATGTATAGTTTACCAATTTTCATTCACATAATTAACTTTCACAACTATAGAGATCGAAACAAATTTGGGGAAAAAAATCACAATTATTAAGTCAAAGACAATCGATGATTATTAAAGAATAGCATAAAATAATAGTCTGCTTGGTAAAAATTAATCACAACAAACTTGCTATGATCCAGTAGTTGCCAAGTAAAGCTGTATACCATAAAATGATGTTCAGTAATAAGCCCACATGAAGACCCTTCTGTGAGCGAGATGTTTTGTGTGCTAAATATTTCAGTTTTTCCTTACAATATCTGACCTCAAAATAATATAATGATTTTAGAGATATTTCCAAAACCTGGGATCAAAAGTACAGAGCATATATGAATTTTCAACACAGATGAACCCTTTTTATGACTCAAAATACTGCTTTAATTTGAAACTGCCACAAAACATGGCTGTTTTTATGACCATTCTGGTTTTTTTTTCTAGGTGACTCTAGGCTTTTCATCCTAATTGCCAGCCTCAAATAATAAATTTATCTTACTTTTCAGTAACTTTAACCATGGCACTTCAAATCTGTAATTTTTACATTTTGACATCAATAAATGGTAATTACTAAACCATGCATTTTATAAAATATATCGATAGTTTGTGGTTCTTTTTTCTTGGTGGTATAGTGAGATATAGCTTAGATATCAACTGACCATTGTTGCCTTTGGAGATGTTTAGGGTGGCACCGACTCCTTCATGGTCAGAGTAGTTATACGGGTGTCCTGGTATCTTCCCCATGGTAACCTGACAGTTCACTACCTCCACACTAGTGCCTGAGTCAAAGAAAGACTATACTAGAGACATACAAGTGAAAAGCACCTTTTAATAATTAAGTGTTAGATACAGTACAGCAAGACAATGCATTAAACTGCATTATACAGCTGTTTCATCCTTCTAGGACTCGTCAGAAATGCTAAGGACCTAAATTTTGAAGCCTAGGAGGCAACTGAGCAAAACACCAAAGTGACAGAATGAAAAGTCAAACTCACTAGACAGGGAGGTGTAGCATTAAAAAAATTGGATAGATTTTGTAATTTTCATTTATCAGACAATTTTAGAAAAAATGTCAAGTACATGTGTAAATTCTGAACTGGGTCACTATTCAAATTAATAAAAACGTGGCAAGCATGTTACAGCGAACCACAGGGACTTAAAGTCCACCAGTAGTGTCTACCACCTGCCATCTGAAAGACTGGACAAAAGACACACAAGTGAAGAAGAATTTTCATCAATTTTGCCCTTATGTGAGATTTTACTTCCTGAAGCCTTGTTTATTGGAAAATTTGATTTTCCTTAATTAACTGAATGTTTCATAATTTGCCAAAAAATTTTAATTTGATGTTACACATCTTTTAAAGCCAATGATAGATATGTTTCAGTATGAAAATTATTTAATTTTATATCCAGAACAAATACCATATGAGTTAAAATTCTGTCTTTAAGAAGAGACAGTTCACCTTCATTGTTCCTAAACAGGATGTAGTCCAGCCTCTTGCCATTAGGACAAACTTTCAGCTGAGCTGGAGTTGTGAAATAGTTACTGGGAATATCACAAGTTTTACCAGAATCTGTCTCATCATTCTGAAAGATACAATCGGTTTGCCTTCAATAAACAGTTTAATATTCCAGCATATCTGATACATATGAAAAAAAACCGCGATAGTACACATTCTTAATGAAATTAATGTTCACATGTGTTTCTATTAATTAGGTGCTGTCTGTAAAATTTACCTGTATTTCTATTAATTAAGTATCATCAGTACTTTTACCTGTAAAGAATAATTTTGGGAATGTAAAATAGTTTTACAAGCCGATTACTGAAGCTCAAAAGAAAGACAAAACAATCAGTCAAATAGTTGACTGGGTCCAACAGGGAATCCACCTGATTGGAAGGATGTCAGCACTGAGGGGAGCGAGCTGAAATCCCTCTGGGCACAATTCCAGCGATTTAAGTTTCATAATGAAAGTACAATCATCTAATTTGCTCTATTTCCCCTATTGGGCACTGCGGCATGGGGCCAAGACCAACTATTTACACAAAATTGATTTCCCTTTACCCCAGAATGCTGTAGACTAAATTTGGACAAAAAAATTGCTACAGGACCCATTCAGTGGGTCTCATTGGATAAACATGGATCCAGAGGGCCAAGACCTACTCTGTATACAAAATTGATTCCCCTTAACCCAGGAATGCTTCAGACCAAATTTGAGCACATCAAATGATTCCTATGGGAATTGTAGTATTTTAAAGAACATGCTAAATTTCCCCTTTGTGGCCCCACCCCTCAGGCCCCTTGGGGCCAAGACCCACCTTTTATACAGCATGATCCCCCTTTCACCAAGGATGCTTTTGACAAATTTTAGTTTAAATCCACCATGTCATTCATGACTTGTTGCGATTTGTAGAAAAAGTTGACAGACAGACATATGCTGCAGTATACCAATAACTCACTTGTCCCTTCAGGCCAGGTGAGCTAACAACTGGGAATGAGATGCAGGACTGTACGCCTATAGTTTTAGAAGAGCAGCAACCAGACGTTGTCATTGTGGATGTAGCCATTCAATGCAGCATACCAGTGAAATGATACCGGCATGAGGAAGTGAAAACAAGATGATGCTGGGCCAGATGGAGAATCTGCGGTGACAAGCTCATCACATATTAAAGAGTTGGTAGAATATGTGTTATGTGGGACATACCATACACAGAACATGACATATGTGGGAAGTGATGAAGTGGGACAATAAAATGATTTCTGTTAAATTGAGTTTCATGTGGAATGTGGATTATTTACTGTATTCATCTTGTTGGACGGGAAGGACGGGGCATCCTACTTTATAAGGGATGGGGGAGTGCATTATTGGAAAAGTATTTTTGTTTGGCATGACTTGTATATATATTCATAGTCTGATGAATATCATAATTTTGAAAATTTAAACTTTTTTATGTAATAATTTGTTGTGTACATTGTAGATTGTGAATGAGTTTATAAGTTTACCAGTGTTTTAGTCAGAAGGTGCCATGTTTTGTAAGTATGGAGAGTGGATGGGTCACTGAATGAACATATTTGTTTTGTGATGAATATGTGTGTAAAGCCATGAATTGTTGTGCAAAGCAAAATTGTATCTGGGTCAGGAAGACATTTGAGGCACGTAATGAATGTTCACGTGTGTTTGAGTTATTCAGGTGTCACCTGTAATATCTACCTGTATTTGTATACATTGTGTATTATAGATATGTGGTAAATGTTAGTTATCTTATCCTCAGGTCAGCGGTCTAGACCATTCCACAGGTGAGAGCTAGATATCGCAGTAAAGGTGAAGGTGAAGTGGGGATAGTTTGTGGACCATGATGGTGTACACCTAGGCAGAGGCTGGCCAGTATTTCACCGAGGTAGTGTCGAGGAGTGTCTGAGCAGCAGACAGCATAACAGCACTGCATCAAGTGACATGTTCAGTTTATACTAGCACTTACAATGGCACAGAATATATACCACTGGGTATGATATATTCTCCATTCTTCTTTTGTTTATTTGTTGTGAGCTGACCAATAAATTGTGGATGTAGCAGTCTATGTATTTGTTTAGTTATTTATACAACACGCTCTTTCAGCCAGGAGATAACTTGAGACTGTATTTAACACTCATGTAAAAATGACCTACTCTTTTAACAGAATTCTTCCTGCTTTTCAAAAGATTTCCTAAATCTCAATCAAGACTCTTAATTCCACCATCTATCAGAATATACTGGATGTAAGTGAGGAAGAACTGGGAAAAACAAGTTCATGATAATTTCCCATACAGAAATTGAACTGAGGTCTCTGGTGTGTCATCCACAGCTCTACCAGCTGAGCTAAAGGAACATGTTTTCTGATATTGGCAGAGACGGTATTTAACACTAAGCACAAGTCACATCAGCCTATTTCTTGTCATATGAATATGAATTCCAGAAGGAAAGATATGATAAACAATTTCAATAAACAACATTTTTCTTAAAGCACTGATGTTACCTTATTTACAAGGCAAAGTAATGGTGGTACTAGGTTAAATAGTATGATCCAAACAAGCTATTTACATTATCAATGTCTAAGGTCAAAGTTAACACAACAGAATTATATTTAATGACACCTGGCCAACCCAAGGTCATTGTGATATTGTGTCAAGACTTTGGTAACACCAGGTCAAACTGTATAGGAAATATAGTTTTAGAAAACAATACAATTTTGAGGACCAAATTCAAGGTCACAGTCCCCTAATTTTATAAGACATAATATAAACTTCATATCTATTTTTTACAAAAACTGGAAAACAAGTTATACTATCTTATATCAATTATTCTTGTTGACCTGGATGAAAGTGGGTCTTACTGTGTGAGGAAACAAGAACATCCAAGGAAAACCCATGTGGTCCTGCAGAAGACCCCATACATTTCACATATGATTGGGTAAGTGAATCTCAGTTGACTAGGTCAAAGCTGAGTGCATGACCACTGTACCATCTTCCAACCCATTTTACTATGCAACATTCCGTCTAAATGTACATTCACAGTGTAACAGTGGCAACACTTGATTAAAATAGTGAAGAATTAATTCAAATAAAACATTTATCACTATATGATTGGTATCAAAGGTCAAGGTCATGTTGACCAAATTTTTCCATTATGTATATGGGACCTACAATTGTGCATTCATGGTGCAATATTGCTAGCACTAGGTCAGATGGTATAGGAAATTTGGCCAGAACATGCACAGACTGAAGATCCAGTTTTATAAGGATCTGGATCCTAACACTGCTGTGACTTATGTTAAATATCTGATACATGTACATTGAAAATGACTCTTTAGTATTTAGTTTCATTACAGATCTTCAAGAGGTCAATTAGTAAGCGATGCTTCACTTTCAAAATTTATTCTGTTCACACTTACTAGCTCTAGCCATGCATCACGTAGCTTTGCATTTTCTCTAAGGAGTTTATATCCCAAATCTGTTGGCTGGAGATTGAAATCTCCCGCAGTGACAACAAAGTCACACAGGTGCTTGGTTGCTGTGAGTTTAATCAGCTGACTCATTTCAAACGCTTGTGAGACTCTGTGAGCCAAGTATTCGTCATCTGCTTCACTATACTCTGCATGGAGCTGAAACAAAGCATACAAAATACCTTTCCTGTTGTATTTATTATCATTTCATCTCTATACAAAATCTATAAATAAACAAGACACTGCAATCACTTGTCATATTAACATTAAATATTTCAGATTTTTTAAAAAAATTTTGAAGCATTCTATAGAATACTGAGTATGTTTGTAATATATCAATGTTAAAAGAATACTATGAAGCTCATTATTTTAAATTTTACAAAGGAAAAGAGATCCAATGTCCGGTGCAATCGTACGGTAAGTTCAATAGTCCACAAATTTTAGTCAATGATGAGAGTAATTTAGTCAACAAATTATATCTTAAATAAAAAGCAAAATACAAAATATAGCACAGATGTACTTCCATGTTTTTTTTCACTACAATGACACAATAACATCTTTTTGTTATTCGAGGTTGATCTTTTTATAGACATTTATTTCTAATTCTATGTGACTTATAAACCAACCACAATATCAGGATAGTCAGTCAGCTACACTTACATGAGTACAAAAGAGACCAAGCCTGAAGTCCTGGAACTTAACAATACACATTCCCACACCTTTTCCTCCAAACCAGTCACCATGAAACACCTTGTGGGCGTAGCCATTCAGTGAGAAACGATAATAAAAGGATTCCAGGATTGGAAACTTGGAGAACACACACACTCCACTTCCAATAGCCCCGCTGAAAGGGTGTCAGAACAACAGAGTTAAGTGAATGACATTTTCGGTTTGAGACCAATTATTTTACAACAGTATACCTTTAAGACAACATTTGACATAGATATCTATTCATAAAAATCTAAAAGACAACATAAAAATACACCATACAAAAGGCCCATGGGCCTTAACAGTGATCTGACTATAAAGACCTATATATGAAAGAGGCAAAATAGGCCTTAAATAAGTTGCTCAACTACACCTCAGCTTACTTTGAAGACATTGGCTGGTTCATAGAGACATTTTCTGCAAACATGTAGTCATTGGCCATTTGGTTATTGAGAAGAAGTAGCTTCAGTACTTCAACACATTTGACCCCTGTGACCTTGAAAGTGGGTCAATGTCATTCATATTGACAAAGTTGGTAGCCCTCCATCCTAGCATGCTATAGGCCTAATATCATCATCATTGCCCTTTTGGTTAGTGAGAAGAAGTCATTTTAAGATTTTAACACATCTAATCCCTGTAACTTTTTTAAGCAGAACAAGGTCATTTCTATTAACTAGGGTTCACATAAACTTTCTGAATTTAAGAAATTATTCCCCACTCTCAGTGATGTTTTAGACTGAATTTGGTGAAATCCATTAAAGCATTAAGAAACAGTAGTATTTTGAAGCAAAATCTTGTCTAACTTCCCTGTTCGGGGTCCCGTCCCTGAGTCCTTAGGTGTTGAAACAACTTTCTGAATTTAAAAAATTGCTTCTCCACTCTTAATGATGTTTCCCAAATTTAAGCATCAAGGTTTTTGAAGGAAAGTATTGACTAACTTATCTCTCTGAAGTTCATCAACTTTTTGAATTTAAGAAATGATTCTACACTCTCAAAGATGTTTCAGACCAAATTTCGTTAAAATCATTCAAGCATCAAGAAAGAATAGCATTTTGAAGCAAAATATTGTCTAATTTCAACATTTGGGGGCCTTCCCCCAATCTAAGGGTTGAAACTCTCAAGTTCTATTAAAGCATCTGGTTGAAACCCATTCTATTATAGCATTAAGAAAGAATAGGGATTTGATGCAAAATATTGACTAATTTCTCATTTTGGAGCCCCCATCCCAAAGTCTGTAGGGGTCAAATCAATTTTCTGAAGTTAAGAAATGATTCTCCACTCTCAATGATGTTTCAGACCAAATTTGGTTAAAATCTATTTAAGCATTAAAAAGAAGTAACATTTTGAAACAAAATGTTGTCTTATTTTCCCTTTTGGGGACCCACCCCCAAGTCCCTAAGAGTAAAATCAAATTTATGAATTTACGAAATAATTGCCTATCCTAACTTATGATTCAGGCCATAGCTTGTTGAAATCCACCCAGACAGAAAGGAAGTTTTAAATCTAATTTCATCAACTCCCCTTTTGGGACTCCGTCCCCAAATCCCTAGGAGTTGAATCAAAATTCTGAAATGATAACCCTCACCAAATGATGCATCAGACCAAATCTGGTTGAAATCCATTCATGTATGAAAGAGGAGTAGTGTTTTAAAGAAAAATTTAACACACGACCCATGATGCACAATGGCTATCAGTCATTTTGACCCTTTGGGTCAGATGACCTAAAAAGATGCATTAAAGGTGACAGAAAGCCAAAACCAATAAAATAACTGCCGATGATGCCAGAGTGTTATAAAAGTATCATAAAAAACAAAAACGTGCTATTTTACACAAATTTAGAGTGTTTGGTAGGTTAATTGAGTTTTTAAAAACTGCCGTTCTTCAGTCGATCTTGCGAAACACAAAGGCCTTGACTGAGTTATCGCCCTTATCCGTGACGTCATATGTGACAAACGCTTTCATTGCAAAAAATCCGCAATGTCATGACAGATAAAGATGAAATGAGTGTATGATAATTTTGTCAAGGGCAAGCGTCACTATGATGATAGGAGTGGAAGAAAGGGCAGAGGAGCGGAGGAGACAATGCAAATCACTTTTAATTCAGATTTTGTGCTTCAGGCACAGTTCTACATAAAATCAACCAAAATACTGATATGGATTTCTGTAGTATTCAACCTTTTCATGATCAAAATACTTAATTATTTAGGAGTCCTGCGAGCATAAAAATATCCAATTTCTAGTCAACGGCCTGAGGGCACAATACATAGGAGACATCAAACCTTTGTTAGTTCTAGTTAGGAGGCTTACAGGCTTAAAACATATCAAATTCCAGTTAAGAAGAGTGGAGGCCTTGGAGCAAAACAGTTATCGCCTTTGTTGCTAAGACAAGAGGCCTGAGACATCAAACCTCTGTTAGTTCTAGTTAGGGGGCCTGCAGGCTTAAACCTACGAAGTTCAAGTTAAGCAGTCTGGGGGCATACAACTTTTCTTAGTTTGAGCTTGGAGGTCGGGGGGAGGGCAGCAACACAGTTATCTCAGCTATAGTTAAGAAAATAGGCCTGGGACATTAAACCTTTGTTAGTTCTAGTAAGGAGGCATTCCAGGCATAAACCTATCAAGTTCCAGTTAGGCAGTCTGGGGCATAAAACCTTTCTCAGTTTGAGCTTGGAGGCATTGGAGCAAAACAGTTATCTTTGTTATAGTTAGGACAAGAGGCCTGGGACATTAAAACTCTGTTAGTTATAGTTAGGAGGCCTGCAGGCATAAACCTTTCAAGTTCCAGTTAGGCAGTCTGGGGCATAAAACCTTTCTCAGTTCAAGCTTGGAGGCCTAGGGGTAAAACAGTATCAAACTTGTAAGAAAACATGAAGTTGGAGAAATTTGAACACTGACCCCCCGAAGGGAGGATCAGGTATGTTTGTGTTCCTTTCTTGAAATCTGTAATAGATTTTCACACAAATGTTAGGAACCATCTGAGGCTTGAAGTGTTAAAGTATTTACGTATTTTCACCTGTTTTGTGTTTACAAATCAATTAAGATAAAATCCAATCATGAATATTTACTGTAAATGTCCTTAATTTAGCACAAAGGAGTTTTTAGTGCATTATCACTTTTTGGCAAAATAACTGCAATGATAAATTCATGCATCAGATATAATTGCTATATATAAACATTATCCAGAAGAGACAATAAGCAGTCATGTGTGATACTTTCAGTGTGAAAAGCATAGAAATAAAATTACTGCTAAAAATTTTACCTGTAGAAGTAGTGATTGTAGACAAACACTCCTGACACTCTGTCTAGTAATATTTTGAAGTCAGCTTTATCCCAAACCTACAAACAACAGTCATATTTGACAATTACATTTGTCCATTCACAACAATGAAACATCTTCAGTTAAATATCAAATTTTGAAATATGAAGTATTTTCCATAATATCTTTTCATTAGCATTGATAGATTGATATCTCGAGGAAAAGTATATAGTGAGAAGGGAGGTAACTCTGATATACCTTTGGACATGTAATCCAGCTTCAGTATTTCATTGTAATTTCTATAAATTGACAATGAAAACTGGCATTTTGAACAATAGGTATTGTGTCTGACTTGTACAACTATGATAAATGTTGAAATATTGAATGGTTGAAAAGTTTGCATTCTCACCAACCATTTATACTGACCTCCTGAAGGACAACCAAGTCGTAATCTCCTCGTTTTAGGCGGTCACCAATCGCTGTCATCCTTTCCAAGCGCAGTTGGCATGCTATTGGGGTAGGAACACCCCTTTAAGAACAAACAGTTTTAAACAAGAGAGATTAAGTGAGGTATACACCAGAACATACAGTTCCTTAAGCCAAGTCACTCGCTAAGTCAGATGTATTTTTTTCTAACAAGTACTAATTGTAATGGGGACCATTGCAAATGTCCCCCAGACGACCCCTTCAGCAGTAAATGATCACAATAATCAGACCTCCAGTCATGCCGAACATGTAGACACCAATTTTGAATGGAAATGAGAAAGTAAATTTTTAAAACATCACAGACAATATCTAAAATTTGGCCACTTCGCTTGGGGGACATAATAAACAATTATCTCTCTTGAGGTAAATATATACATAGGTCTGGAACATGTTTTACATTGTGAATCAAAACCAAATGACACAGGCTATTTTACACTGGCAAGTATGTGCAGATAATTTGTTATAATGATCTACAAACCAAAAATGTCTAGTAGATCATGGTCAGAACGTTAATCGTAGTGTAAAAAATAAGGTGTAATAAAAATCAACTTGCTACAGGTTCTGCAAGAGTTTGTACAAAGTCTTCAACTTCGATGACAATCCATCATCACAAGTGTGATATCATTAATGCAAGCATTTCTATCTCCTAAAATGTCTACTGTCGGAGTGGTAAATAGCACCAATTCTATAAATCATGTAGGTAGGAGTAATGAAAAATATCCTGCCTCCATCGGGGCTCAAACTAGTGACCCCTCAGTCTTAACTGGACAATCTACTACTTGATTAATGGTGAATTCTCTCAGGACAAGACTAGTACGGCAACCTCAACTTTCAACTTCTAAACTTAATATGCAATAGGAAGGAGTAATGTAAAATACCCAACTCCCACTTGGGCTTGATCTAGGGACCCTTTGATTTCCAGCTGGACACCATACCACCTGACTAAAGGGATTGAAAAGAATAAGCAGATAGCAAAAACATTTTACAGGCATTACTTTCAATTGTTCATTTTTTGTTGCACATTTCTAACAGCTTCTAACATTCAATTGGAAAGTGACCACATTTCTAATGACAAAAAATTGAGACTGGTGGGCGTAGGTTATATTGCAAGGCTGCTGTGAGCAAAATAATGGTCACTGTGTAAAATATACACCAATATGTAAACAATCCGTGCTTAGCTTAGACTATATAGAGAGAACTTCTTAAATAAAATATCTGTTATGGAAATGCATCTACCACAGAGTTGGAAATTTAACTTTCAGTGAAACACACACCTGTGAATAGACTAAAAAATGGATGACACTCGCTCTTACTTTACCACTTCCGCAAATACGAGCGTAAAATTACAATAATTTTGTGACAGTTTGTACAATAAAGATGTCCTGTAATGCTTATGTATGTGTGTTGCCTTTACACGTGTAAAGTATACGTACCAGCAATTCAGGGTTAGAACCTTCAGCTGCGACATTTTAGGTCCACTGGAATGCTAAATAAATATAGAAAAGTCTAGAGCAATCCGAAGGTAAAAGTAAACATCCGTCGTTAGTGACGTTAAAACCCGAGAAATCCGAATATACATCGAAAATGAAAGTAGCCTGTGTCGGAACGTCCCTGGATATATTCACTCCTTAAATATCAGATTAGCAAAATACTGTATCACAAAGACATGTAGTCATTCCGCATGTTTCTATAATTCTGATATACCTTAATTGCACCAAACTTTAAACTGTAGAATATACGTACCAGGTTTTAATGTTTTTTTTAGGACCGCATTCAAGACACATATTTGTAGACTGACAATAATTCTTTTGGATTCTCAAAGACTGTAACCCAAGGTACATATGAATCTAAGCGGCACCTTACGATAAAAACCTTAATTCATTGTTGAACATGTATTTTGTATTTAAACACATTTCTTTTTCAAACTTCTAAATATACAATGTGTACATACATCATGTTTGATTCTTTTGAAGATCATTTGAAGAAGGAGGTGGGGGTGGGGGATGTTTACACATATATATGTTTGGTCAGTAAGGGTATTGTACACGTGTGGGGACGGAACGACGCGAGTACAATTGCATTTGATTAGAGTTGTTATTACAAGTTTTGTTATTTGGATGAATAAACAATAAAAAGAGAAAGTAGGATTAATTCATTTATTTATTTACTGCCATTTCGAGTATCATGTTAATGTACGATATTTTTCGTGCAATCGTAGCCTTACTTCGTAAGAAACTGATATCGTCAACCTTGTACTTCGTTTGAGTCGAAATACGGATAAGTCGAAATATTTTCCACTGTCCCTTGAATTTCGAGATAACGAGTTTCGACTATATATAAAAGTATCGGATATCAATAATAATCGTTCAAAAAGTGATATCTAAATGAAACACTGTGCATAAATCTACGGACCCTTAAAAATCAAGCTGAGAAAGTTATATTTAGAGAATAAAGAGCAGTGTTATATCACCACATTACATGAAAAGGCTTGTGTTTCACAATAAAATGCTAGAAATGCATTTTTTCTACACGTAATATCATTATTCATTTTTCACATAACATTAATCACAACTTTTTATGAAATATGGCAAGCCATATCGTCATCCTAATTCAGGGAGCAATATTTATTCAATACTAAAGTATATAAGATACCTTATCTCTGTATAATTTCCATATTAGATATCTTTATTAGTTAGATATCTTATATATGTGAAAAAACAGGCCTGAAAACCGTTTTTTTCTGTCGAGTGCACCGACATCATTTGAACCGGATCTAAAGTCTCCAGCGTGATGATCTATGCGTCCTTTTTCATGTAACATGTAACATATCTTAAAGAAAAAAATATATAAGAAATGTTTCTCATAAAAGATAAGATATTTTATATATCTTAGTTAGGTCTAGGATCAACGGTTCCCCGTGAATAAATGACAAATTGGCAATCCGGCTATGCAGCGTAAAATCAAAACTTACTTCGAACTAGTGATGTGCTTTAGAAGAACCTAAGCGACATATGCTGTTTTCGCCCGAGACACGTGAGAGATGATCACAAACAGAAATGATAGGTCTGGACAGGAATAGTTTTAAAGAAAGTGTCACCAAAAAGCCTTAAAGAGTCAAGTTGTTCAAATGTCTATAACTGAAAATAAGAAATCTAAATCTGAATGATATACCCTTATGATCAGAGATATAAATACATTTTTATCCTACAAGTTGCACTGCCGTTGTCGGAATACACTTGCCAAATATATTTATGCTATATTCGGCAGTGACGGAAAACAGCTGTATTTTAGCTTTCTCCCTTCAACCATATCACTAAAGGATTAGAGACCCCAGAGAATTCAGAAGAGTATGTTTTCATTCCCATTCACTTTCCTACTTGGATACTTGTGGCATGTTTCTTTTTCAAACGGTGATATGGAACTGAAGCCAAGTAATCATTTCTTCATGGACCAATGGTGATCATGTGCTTAACTAAATTATATAAAATACCTTATATAATCATAAAAAACATTCTATTTTTATATGAACCATCTGATGTAATAAGATTCATGGCATAATTTGGTGAATTGAATCAACCATGCATTTTCTATGAATAAATGATAACTTGGCTCGCTTAAATGACGTGGTGTCAGTGTGATGGAAGTCTATGAAAATCTACAATGATACCTCGTCTGTTATGTCTCAAGACGCAAATTCACAGCAAATGGAAGCTAGAAATGGGTAAAAACTTAAAATATATATCAGATTCTTATATCGGAGTTGTTGTGTTTGCTCAAAACAAAGACTTTGGTGTTGTTAGTTCCTGTTTCTCGTTCGCTTGTTCCCATCAGCTTTCTACGTGATGAAATCCTGTTGCCACTGCATTCGCTATCCATGATTTGAACATCGATGTTTAAATGTTTCTTTTTAGATAAATGGATAATACCCCTTTCCAATTGAAAGAAACATCCAGGTTTGTCCAGCATAATCTTAAGATTTAACTTATAATAGTGTTTCTGATATTGAAAATGTTACTAGAAATATAGCAGTATGGCAAAACAATAGCAAGGAATTTATTTGTGATGCATTTTTTTTTTAAAATCGGCATACATTTCTCCCTTTTCTATGCGTTGACATTTCCACTTTCAAGTGTTTTAAACACTTCAATGTGATTGCCATCAATTCCTCCACGTTTGCCATCAATCAACAATCGTGAAAAGAGGGGCCATCTGATGGATCGTGTAGACACTGTTGAAATTTAGGAGGTTGAACTCTACGTCTGTCTATAATGAAGTGAAATCCAGAGACATCCAGATACATCACAGACGAGTTGGATGCTCAACATCACTGTAACTATCAGAATTACAACAGGCCATCTCTTCAAAGTTTCTTACGAGTCTCAACATCAGATGTGATAGACATCATTCTGATGCACATAGTAAAGACTTTAATGTCTAATTTTAATATCATCTTTATCTGTAAACATTAAGACCATAAATTCTTTCGAACTTCGATTGAAAAGGTTTCCATTAAATTTTATATCTAGTCTTGAGCTACAATGGAACCTATTTGTGTTAAAATATCACGAAACAGATGTGATGCTATTATGATACGAATAATAGTATGCGTGGGATGGGTTCCGGCTTTTGATAATCATGTTGAGCAAGGTATTCTGTGAGGCCGTTGGTGTTCCCTCGGGAACAAACGGTGATTGTTCCTGTCATGACAATCTCGTATTTTGTTTTCGATTGATGTTGCATGTCCTTGAGAGTTTATGAAAACAGGAAGCAAAGACCTCACCTAGTTCTCCGTTTTTTTCCCAGATATACAAAGAAATGCTGTATTGAAAAAACAGTTTATTGATCACGAGTACTAAGCTAGCCATATTTTCTTAGCTCGATATTTACGAACCGGTCATAAAAAATGGACGTCATACCATAAAATTATACAAACAGCGACAGTTTGCCATCAAAATGGCCTGCCATGAATCATTTCGTTTAGTTTAAATAAAGTCATAATCAGTATACACAGCAAAATGGGTAGTGAATGTAAACATAAGAATTGAATTAAAATGTTCTGGCATTTATAGTTGTTATAAATGACAAAGTTTTGCAGGCAAAGTTCTGGTTTTTATAAAGATCATAAATGTCAGCAGAGAACAATTGAATGCTTAGATTTATCAGAATGTGTGGAATGTTGTTTCTATAAAGTATTTGAAAGATTTTATGCATTTGTCGTTTGTTTAATCCCTTCTGGAGTCATGTATAACAAAAAAATTATATCCACGAACTGACATTTTGTTTTCTTGTGATACTAGCTGTAAAGTAACCTTCTGCTATCATTTCACACAATGGAATATCCTGGATATAAACTTTGGAATAAATGTTGTGATATTGTGTTGAAATATCTCGTTTCATCGATTTTAGGTTTGAATTTTCGTTTTTGTGCTTGCATACAGAAGCAGTTTTGCATGCAATAACATTTTTCTTCGTCTTTTCTCTCTATATGTCTGCACAACTGAGTGCTTCACAGGGAATATAAGTGCCATAAAGAAACAGACAGTAATTTTTCCTTGAATAACACCGATTTTCAGTGTGAAACAGGATATATTTTATCTAGTTTTCTTCCTGACGATGAAGTGTAAATGTTTGCGCTTTGGGAGCTAGGATGAAAACGAGCAGGTCTTTAAGAAACTTATATTTTTAAACCAGTATTTAACTGACAATAACAACAACACAATGATTACATTGTACATTTTATATGTCAAGTTTCTCATGTTCAAAGTTATCGCACCTTTAATTTCACAATTTCAGCTAATGTTTATCAATAAACAAACAAGAATTTTTTAAAATTCGAAAATATAAGCATTAGATTCAATACAAGCTATTTAAATCCTATTATTAAGCTTTCTCCGACAATTCTTGCCAGATGTTCATTACTAATCTTTCCATATTCGGTTCTTTTTGGTGGCAGTTGTGGGACTATAAAAGCCAACAGAAATCTTGAAGTCTCTGAATACTACAACTCCGTAGACAACAGTCACACACGAGTCTCGTCATTCCCTGATCACGTTTAACACGACTGTGCTGCACCACTCTACCTGTTAATAAAATAACAAAGAAAATGTATATAAGATTTGATCTGTACACAGTGCTCTTGTTGCATAGCTAACTAATGAGTTATCTTATCCAATACATTTTATATGTTGTGGTTTTCTTTTGTAAATTTGGCACTTTGTCTTATGGTCTCTAAAATGGCTTTTTGATGTATACTCAATGGATAAAGAAACGCATGGTAAACTTTTAAGACGATTCTAGGCAAGACGTCAAGTATGATGTTCAATAATTTTAGTAAGAATGAAGATTAATACATACAGAACAAACTGCAAAATCAACGATTTGTTTCTGGTAAATGATTTAGGAGTAATTGAAGGGAATTTAAAGAACTCTGTAATATAAATTCGAAATGAACTGATTCCGGGAGCTGGC